CAGCCAGAGAGCAGCTCTAGTCCTGATATGTGTGTCCCTCTACTGCTCAATCAACAGCCCCTGCTGGGAGAAGCCAGGCCCACCACTGGGAGAAACGGCGCCCCCCACAGGCTACGAAGCGTACCAGCTGTGTTCCCCCTCAGACAGCATGTCGAGTTAGAGTTGCCCCCCCCCCAAACATTCCCTTTACGCAGCCTGATATTTACTTTATTAAATGACAAATACGTTGGCAAAAAAAATTAAATTAAAAGACACAGGTTGAAGAGACAAGCCAACAGGCCTGAGGGGAAGGAAATACAAAGAAGGGAAAGAGAGATATGAAAGTTAGTATGGCTGATATTTATTTCCCCAAAGGAATGAATTGGGCAGGTTTATCAAATTGCTCTCTGTGGAGACACACACAGAGGAAACTAAGTATTAGGGTGAGGGTCAGCAAGGGTCTAAGCACCCCTGGTACAAGGGTCTAGCCCCCCTGGTAAAACTGGTGCCAAGGGGCTTGATCCAGGGCCCAATGGTGGCATTCCTCGTGCGACTTTCGGGATTTGAACCAGCAACCTTCTGATCACGGCCACAGAATCCGAAGCTGCAGTCACAGATCTCCCCTGCTCCCCTTACTTCCAGAAAGGGACGAGAATGGGTTTTAAACCCATACTCCTGCTTCCACATCAGTGCAAATATCCAGCCCCACTGTCACTGCCGATTTTAAATAACAAACACAGGTCGAGGGAATCGGACAGCATGCAGGACGCGCCCCTGTCGCCACACTCCTACACTGACTGCTGTCACTGCACCTTTCCAGCTACAGGAAGTAAATAATTCAGAAAGAAAACAGCAGGATGAGAAACCAGCCTGTCTCTAGACCACAAGCTGTTGCAGAGTAATTTGTGCCACGCCTTGATGAAAGACAATACTCAACATGGAGTCGGACTGGGAATAAACAGAGGAGGGCAACACGAGACCTGGGTCATTCACAGTAAAGGGGAGGGTCTACCAACCGGCCGCCTCACCTCGACATAACGTGCATCTGTAGTCAAGCAAGATTCGCCATCCAGAAACATTTCTCTGGCACACATGATTGTGGATTTAAGAACTTTGTGAAGCGTCAAAAGCAGCCAAAAACATCTGGAAACAGATGAGATACAGATACAAAAGTCCATTGTCTTCTCCTGAAAGGGGTTTTTCTTCTATTTGCATGTCACTACATATAAATTGAAAAATATCCAAAATAGTGAAAAATCAGATCAAACGGAACAAAGAAATCTAATGCAACATGAATGTTTCAATACAGAGTCACCTGAGCAACTGGAGAAAGGCCAAACTGACCAAGGCCACGGTCCGTATCTCATTAAAATTAATTCAGAGTATTCCATCACGTCACAGCTTCAAATACTAATCGTGAAAAGGTGTGCGATTCTCACAAGTGTTTACTAGAAGCTGCGGCGAGTTGGCTGTGCTTGGGAAATTACGCCAGGGAGGTGGTGGAATTTCCAGCGACTCGCGGGCGCCCTCTGCCGATAGATTACTGGCCATTGCAGAATAATTGAAAACCGACGAATCAATGAAAATGCGATTAATGGGAACAGAAAGCCACTGGAAGAAAGGCCTTTAAAATATCGGGAGGCGGCAAAGCAGAACGCAACAAAGCTGCTGCAACTCACATCATGCGGAAAAATTTTAACATACATTCTTAATCAAAATCAGTTAATTGCCAAATCATTTTCAACACTAATTCATGAACTATAGATTTTTCGGTTTCTCTAATGCAACAACTGCGTGCAGACGGCATTCCACGACTATCATATGAATCATGTTTCTGATGACTATCGGATGCACGTTAAATCACATCGCAACAACATAAATTGGATTGTGGGTTTTATTTTAACGTCGACAGTTGGATTCCAGCATTTTGTCCCCCCGCCATCAGTAAAATTAATTTGTGAAGCACAGTTATAATCAGTGGGGATAGCAGGTGATAAGATGGGTAAGAATAAAGATGTAAGAGGTGGAAGATTCTCTGTTCAAATCCTTGCAGGGGCTATGCCGTTATGCTTCTTAGTTAGGGCCCTGGATTTGATTTGATCTAAGAAAACATCCAGGTTTACAAACACAAGAATTGGAAAAGTGCTTAACTAGAGTCTTACAAAAAGGGACCAACTAATTCCACTCATTAGACTTGGTGATTAAATCACGCCACAAGAAAGAGGCTTTGAAGCACTGGGCAGCTCCAGCGTGTAAATCTTATTTCTGTACTCGGGATGTTGCATGAACTGCGGTGTGAGATGCGTTAGGTGATCACATAGCTACTGTAACTGGAGGGGCTTTCTGCTGCTTACAAGCAACTCAGACAGCTGAAAAGTTGGCCAGCTAACCAAAACTCAACGAAATCAGCTTGGATCTATTGGAGTGAGTAGACATCACATCATCAATTTGTAAATACGTTAGAAAGTGCCGCTAGCTGCGTGCAACGGGCTGTCGCTTTGTGTTAATATTACTCCAAGACCCCCTTGGCCCCTTGAGGAGGAAGGCCATCCGAGTGTCCGCAGGCTGCCCCGGAGGCTCCCCCCATACCGAGCCCCATCGGTCCCGTTTGGATCCCTGGGCCCGGACCCCAATGTGCCGGTCGGCTAACTTCAGCTAGCCACCTAGCCGTGTACACAAACAAAGGAAGAAACTAATGCATGTTTCACAGTAGAGGAAAAGCCCCGTCAGTTATACGGGAGAACCTGCTTAAGTTAAACTGTGCGCAAAATAAAGCCCAGTTTTCAGCAGGATGCGATTCCCATTTCCCCCAATTTTCCAATGAAAAAAGGTGGCATTGCATGGCCGGATGGTGGGTGCCGGGCCCCTGGAACTAGCATAGCCGAAACACGCTCCGTGGACACATGCATGTTCCACAGAGATGACAAAGGCCCCGAAATGATCAGTTTGAGAAGCACTCCCCTGCTGATCGTGCCCCCCACATTCATGCACGCACAGTCAGTCGCGGGATCCCCGCATAAACCGCACTTTCCCGAAATCGCAGAAGCCCAGGCGGGCAGTTTGAAAAAAATGAAGGTGCATTGGGATGGATCAGAGATGTGTAGAGGGGGGGCTGCTTAGCCGCGGCTCGGATGGGCCCCGTCGCGGCCATGGGCGAGCCTCCCTCCCACCTCGATCTCACGGGCTCCGGTTCGGCCCGTTAGCCCGGCGACGCGAGAGCGAAATCGGTGGCGGCGGAAAAGTTAAAGCAAAAAGCGCTCCCCTCTTACCTCGGCTTTCACTGAAGCCATGGTTCCTCAGCCTGCGCCCAGTCCCCGCCCACCGCCGCCGTGACGTCAGCGCGCTCACTTCCAGGCCCAGTTAAAATTACGCGCATTTTAGCCCCTCCCCCTTCATTTAAATATCGCTTACAGTTGCCTTGCGGACTCTAAATAACTAGCGGACGCCGAAATCTGGCTATTCTACAGCTCCGACGTAGGCTGGTGGAACGCGCAGTTAAAAATTGATTTATGGAGATGAAAGTTGTGTAGCCGTCTATTGTTTTACACGGCATCCGCAACTGAGTGTTACATTGGAATAATTAGGAGCATTTATTTAGACTAATATCAAGATATAAACGTAATTCTCTACATGCAGAAAATGCATGCTTTCGGTTGTGCATCCCCCAGTCTACCAGTTTTTAATACATTCAGGTTACAAAACATATTTGGGGGACCTTTGACCAGTTTTTATTGCTCCAGTATATTAAGCAGCAATATGAACCACTGTCTGCGGCAGCTTTGCCCTCGATTCCTCTGGTAGGTAAGAAGGGTTGAAGTCCATGTCCGTGCCTGACACTGGGAGGCTGACGGATCTGGATCCAGTTTCCATGGAAATGGGAAAGGAATGGTGGAGTGAGAGACAGCTCTGGAAATGCCGTCTGTTTGCCCGACTGCTCTCCTCATCAGCCCGTGGCCCCATCGAAACTGTTAATATGTCTCTGCAGAAAATGTGGCTAGCTACAAATACTCCCACTACCCAGACAAAGACCCACCATGCACTGCTGCCTCTGTATGCTCTGCTCTAGGGCACTGCACGGGTCTGATTCACAGAGCGAGATTGGGTGACCTTTGACTGGGGACGGCATATTGTACGCTAACCTCATTTCACATACCCAGAAGCTTTAGCAGCAGATGCACTGATTACATTATTACTAAAGCAAAATTTAATTGCGATGCTCCAGTCAGCTTATGTGCCAAGGTGTGACTCTGGATTGTAGACTCAGAGGAAAAGTACTGTATCATCAATTTAATTTCAGTTATTCATCTCACATAGCAGCAAGTCCACTACAAGCTGCAAGTTTATAGGGGGTCTAGAGCCTATCTGAGGAAGAACAGGACACAAGGCAGGGGACAATCTGGATGAGGGACCAGAATTCCATTCCCTCCAAAACAGCACCACACTTCCTGGAAATGAGGGAAACCCCTCTGAAAAGCACCATGGGGGGTGGGGAATTTACACTTTCTATTCACCACCTAACAGCCACGGCCTGGAGATTAGCAGCAGTCTGGCAAACCTCATAACTAGCAGGGAGAAATGAACATGAAAGCATAAAAACTGCGAGTTCACTCAGCTGAGGGAGCTGCGGCAGGTTTACTGTTCTACCATCTTTGGGAGGCAGAGCTGTGGAGACCCAAGCTTCATATTAAAAGTCCCCCCATCATCATAAACATGGCTCACTACAGAAGTGTGCATTTGTTCACCTTTGAAGATAATAGGGATAGTATAACTTTTGAGGATTTAATTCTAATGTAAAAGAAACACATGTTGTAGTCTATTCATTTGCTCCCCAATAATCCTTTTCATCATTTACGTAGGTAAGAATTATGCTTTTTGATATATGGCTTTTAATTCCCCAGTGGTTTCCTTTTTATCATAGTATGATATGTATAGTTAAAACAACATTTCCCCCTTTTCAATAGTATTTAAAACAACTCAGATTAAATAAAAAAAAAAGTTATGTTAATTGAAGATTAGAACCACACATTTTAAAACAATTTTATTAATACCATTTACATGTTTGATTTGAAACAATTTGTTGCTGAGCTTTAACATTGATTCACTAAGGTGCTCTTGACAAATCAGTGTCTGGATAGGGGGGGGGGTAGTAATCCGGGTCACACATAGAAAACAGCTATCACTATGCAAAAAAAATAAAATAAAATACAAAACCACAAACCATCTACATGAACTGAAGAAAAAACTGACAAGGTGAAATTAATAAAGCTATCAAACATTCTGAGATGAAAAATGATACACGGTCAAAGGGATTTTTACACAGTAAGACTACAGAATAAAAGTGTAAAATGCCTTTCACATGAGATTTGCCTAGAAAATCATGAGTGTGTTAGTAGTTTCTATTTAACAAGAACAGCAGTAGCAAAATGAGCCTTCTGTGGCTGACCTTGAAAAAGACTGGGAGCTAGATGGGCATGCATCTCCATCGCTTGGGCGATCTGGCCTAGCGCGCCAAAAGCAGTGGAGATCCCATCTCAGGAAAGGACGACAGCTCACCGCATCCTAAACGCAGGCCTCGGAACATGCAACCATATGGGATTTTAAGGCATTTCTTCACAAAATGTTGGGGGTCCATGAAGAACAGCAGTCATGTTGCAAGCTGATCTACCGGTGAAGCAAAACGGCAGCGTAACCATGGCAGAGAATCGGCGAGGACCCGCGCATCATGGCTCTGCTGACTTCACATATTACAAAAAGAAACAGGAAAAGGAGACGAGCAGGACGTTGGCATGGGGGCACGCACGTCTTCTTTATGCCGTATCTATATACACGTCTGCCCAAATGAACTGGTGACAAGTGTCGATGTGGTCGTGTGTTGCACGAGAGAGGGACAGAGCACCATTTCACGGCAAAGAGTACCTTCGCATCTTTAAATGGCTGAGCGATGCTAATCCCAGCTGGTGTCAGAGACCGGAGCAGGTGGAAGCCCGTTGATATCTGGCGTGGTACGGAATCATCATCACTGACGCCCAAGGTTACTGCATGTCATTCTGGGACACGGTGACGAAGCAGCACTGGTGTACCATTTCAACGAACAACAGAGGGGCACGAAAAGGGAGTGATTCACATAGATATCCACTAGGCACGTGCGACAGGAAAGAGTTATGGGACAGGAATGTCCGATTTGATGATGGATTAACCACTTTTCTAAAGTAATGATCCCAAATATAAGTAAAAAACATGCTAGCATGTCCACACACACACACACACACACACACACACACACACACACACAAGCTCACTCACAGTATTAAATTTTTCCAAAGTGCTCTCTGTGCTTTCCAATTTCGTCAGCTACTACGAAAACCCAGCAAGTTAATCAATTCTGACCTTTCTAAAACTGAAACGAGAGGTGGGGGGGGGGGAATGCCAGGGGAATGGTGAAGGATAAGGCGTTACAGCAAACCCAGCAGATGGTACCCCCCCCTCCTGCGGTGTGAGCTTGTGAAGGGGGTGGGGGGGGTCTGAATTCATCCCGGCTCACCACACACCCTCATGGCACCTGTGGTTGGACCACGAATCCAGGGAGGCCCCATGTGGCCCCATGTGGTGGTGATACTCCCCCTAGTGGCCAGAGCACACGGTCACCCACAGTCTCACTTCTCAGAGGCCTTGTTTACTTTCCCCTGGAAAGCTCGCTCGCTTTTTGGTGCAGGTCGCTTCTCAAACACACACACACACAGAAGGCCAGCTTTGGTCACAACAGGAGTGAAAACAGAACAGAGAAACCAAGAGACTCCATGTCCGAATCTGAGCCCTGACTTAAGGCATCACAGATGCTATCATCCAAGCTACATTTCTGTGCATGTTCTTCTCGCTGTCTGCTTGCGGTGACAAAGGACAAATGGGAGAAAAGTACAAGGGGGTGGGGGGGGGGGGGAAAGGAAGCCACAATCCTTTTCCAGGAGTATTAAAAAAGATTCTTTTTAGTCAAAGGTTGCAATGCCCCATCTGTCCTGTAGGGGGATGTAAGACCTTGCAGGGAGAGAATGGAAGCGATATTGTCTTTCATTTCAGCTGTAAGTCTAACTCCGGCTGTTGAAACTGGAGTTGTCACTGCTACAGCTTTCTTCGTAGCTAGGAGGGGGCTCTGCAGAGGAAAGAATATGAAGAAAGAGAAACGCCGTCAGACTGATTGTCATTAACAAAAACTAAAACTATTAGAAATCATTTTCGTAAACAAATTAAATAAGAAGATAGAATAAATAGTTACAAAATGAAAAATATAAATCAAAAACTTACTGAAATAAAATAAAAACAAAGGTTAAGTACCTTCCGTTACCATTCTTTAATGCTATTTAGCTAAAGTAATGGTTTATACTTAATTATCATACCTGGAGTATGTTTTGCCCATTTGGAGGACATTAGTATATAATGTGCACTGTAGCATTCTCTAAGGATCACACACAAAAATAGGTCTATAACTAAAATATATAAAAACTAAATAGATAAAGTTAAGATAAAAGCTAATAAAAGCTAATAAAAACTAATAACACTTGAAAGCTAACTGGATATGAAATCAAAATATAATATGAAAAGAAAAACTAAATTAAATAACTCAAAACACTAGAATAACACTTGAATGAGACCCGGTGTGAACCTTCCAAAGACCTTGGCAAAGGAAGGGCAAACGGATACCGTGCCAAATAACAAAGACAGTTTATCGCCTGATTACCTCACAAAAAATGAAAGATATCTTCCCGGCCATAACCTGCAGCAGTCCAGACGATAAGCTGCGCATCAGCTTCTCATGCTGATTTTACTACGGGCTCAAGACAGGACATTGTCCTCCATCTTGTCAGCCTTTAAATTAAACGTCGTCCCTGAAGTGCTCACCGTGCGGGTAGTGTGAACTGCTGTACTCTGGCGGCAGGATGAGGGAACAGGAAGTGGGCACAGGGTTCACGGCGCCCTCGGAGAAGAACGGGATGGTGGCCCCCGTGGACACGCAGAAGAGGGGCCCCGGGCCCTCGGCACAGCGCTGGCTCTGGGGGAAGGTGAGTCCCGGTGCGTAGCTGAAGGCGTTTGGGGACACGGTGGTCTGCTGGCCTGAGGGGTCCTGCTGAGAGTGGCTCTTAGTCGGGATCTCCTCGCTGGCCAGACCCCCCGCGGCCATCTCCTCCTCCAGGTCGTCCTCTGCCGGGGGGGCGCTGGGCATCACGGCCCCGGGGCTGGCGGTGGGCGTCGAGTGCGAGACCGGCCGCGGGGGACAGCGAGGCACCGGGGTGGTGGGTGGGGCGGGCCGCGAGGGACTCAGATTGATGGCGATGTTCCCAATCCAGATGGGCAGTGTCACCACCACCTCAGGTGACTTCAGAGAAACCTGTGACACAGGCAGCAGGGTGTGGAGGAGGTGGGGTCACTCGTCAAGGGCACAGAACATGCCGGCGTCACAGTAACGTGTGACACAGCCATCTCAGACACATTCCTGTCGATTCACCATGCAAACATCTCAGCAATGTCAATTGCCTGCTACATCCATGTTCAAAAGCATCCTGGGTGAAACCCAAGAGATACTGACTCATATTGACTGTGCTGATAACAGACGCTTTTATCCAAAACTGCACACAATTGAGAAATTGAGGTCAGACGTTACAGTCAGTATTGATGGCTGTTGTTGCTCTTTATTTTTTATTATGCGGATCAGACTGCCATATAGTGTAGTATAATAACAATGATATTTACTAGAATCTTCATCACACTGTAGTCACTGTACCTCAGTTTAAACCAGCTGTGCGGGTAGCCTGTCTGAATAACCATTACATTAAATTTTATTTATCAGTAGGCTCAGTCCCTAGAGTCATTGGGTATTAAGGGCCTTGCTCAAGGACCCAACCGTGAAATTACCCTGGGATTTGAACCGGTGACCTTCTGACTATGGGCATAGAATCAACCCACTGAGCCACACAATGCTTTTGCGACGACAAAAATATTAACAAGGTTTATGTCAGGTTGCCCCCCTAAAGGGAGGGGCATACTACATGGTGAGGCATGCATGCCAGGAATATGGCTCGCCCTTTCAAGGGTGAATCACAAACCCTGAATTTGAGGTGTGAGTATTTTTCGACTTGCAGATGGCCCCCCGGGTGTGTTTGTTTTGATCCTCGCAATCATGGGACACTGACCTGGATGAAGTAGTCGATCTCGATAAGCCTGCACCCAGCCAGGACAGACTGAGGCAAGGGGGGTACGATGATCTGCTCCTTCCACTCCGCGTGTTTCCCCGCCTTTACTCCCGCCCCCTCCACCTCAGCGATCGTCCGCAGGTCATAGATCACTCGCTTGCTCCTGTAGGTCACCTTCTGCTCCACAAGGGGGGCAGGGGGGGGGTGGAGGGGTAAAAACAGATGGTTAACAAGGCCACTCACAGCAAGCGGCTTGGTGACTCTGCCACACCAAAAGACTGCACTGCCGGTTATTGACTGCAGTTGGTGCTGTGGAGAGAAAAAATATCCTCAAACACACTGTTACAGGTAAGATTTCCAGGACACACCAAGTATACTCACACAAGGTGCTTATAGATCATGTCAGCAAAATACCCAGCTGTCTGTATGGAAAGGTGGCAAAATTAAGCCTTATATAATAAGTCAGGCTGAATTAAAGCAATTAGCAATTATCAACGTTTATTAATTCAGGGTATGCCCTGACCCCTTGCTTGGCCTAGGTCACAAGGCCACAGTCTTGAAATGTTAACCCTTTCAGCATCATCTTGGCCTATACACAGTGCTGGAACAGTGCCAGGGCTGGATAATCCAAGAGCAGCTCAGATCCGCCGCACTGGCACTCACTCACAGCCAGGGGGCGCCTCTGACCGCCATATGCATGCCACCTCATTCCAGTTCTGCCCTAGGGATTGAAATGTCGGTGAAGGGGCGTACCCAAGGTGTTTACTGGGCTCCTTCCATCTACATGCCATTACTGTGACGACCAGTGCGGTGAAACTCCCTCACATTGCTGTAGGCTGAGATCAACCCTCCTGTGTACAACCAATCTTAGATTTTATCCAATCTGTGACATCATGTATACAGTACACACAAACGCACACGAGGAAATACAGACATATGTAGCAATAATAACATTTCTCTATTTTCTCTAATAGAATAGCTTACAAAATATGCGTGCATTTAGTGGAAGTTTTTATCTGAAGCAACATACATATTATGAGAAAAGATGGTCAGATAGACTCTGGAGCAAATGGGAGCTAAGGGCCACATTGAAGGGCCCACCAATGAAACCACTCTGCTGACCTTGGGATTCGAACCAACAGCCTTCTGAACGTAGGCACCATGTCTTAACTGACGGAGCCACACACTGTCTTTTGGCAAATAATAATTTATACATAATTTTTATTAACCGCCTACCTAATAAGCATCCATCCATCCATCATCTTCCGCTGGAATAATAATCCATAAACAGCATTCCTGGCAGAGATGTCACTGCCATGCGGAGGGACCGTGCCGCTCACCTGGATGAGGCTGGCTAGCACGCAGCCCGTGTCCTTGCCGGACTTGTTGTGTATCTCAGCAGCCAGCTTGATGACCTGGCCGGGGGTGTAGCCCCGCAGATCAGTCCGCGCCTTCAGCATCAGTGTCCCCGTCTTCACCAGGTGGTAGTTGAACTTCTTCGTCGTCACGGCTGAGCTGGCCTTCTGGGGTTCCAGGGAGAGAGGACATCGGTGGAAAAGGACCAAGAACCATGAGGCATGAGAGCATGGAAACTCTCCCAGAAGGGGGTAAGGCTCCTGTCTGCACTTCAAACAAGTCTCCGGTGATGACTTTGATTTAAATTAGTGGTTCTCGAACACAACCACCCCCCCACCCCACCCCACAGAACAATTACCGGGGGAGCATATGATCAAGTTTATGTGGGATGAGGAGAAGGTATAACAGTTCTTCTGCTCTCAAAAGGGCGCACAGCAAAAAAGGTTTGAGAACCAGAAATGAAAACAATCACCCAAGACCAATCAAATTATGTTGCAAATTTTTTTAGGGCCCCTGTCACTAGGGGCCCATGGAATCATCTTAACACCCCCCAGGCGCTTCACAGGGCCCCTGTTAAGAACCTCTGGTTTGGATAAACAAGCAGTTTCAAGAGCAGAGCCAGCAAATTAAATTAATCCGGGCCTTTTATTAACCATTCTAAGCTTGTTCTTTAATGTAAATGCTTGTGCGCAGGGCTTTATTAAGCGTGTCATATAACCATATACCAGAAGAAAAAAAAAGTCAGAAATGGTGTAAGGGGCACGAGGGAGACATCTGCCATCTGTGAAGGCAGAACACAGAGCGTGACATTTCACACGGCGCCTGGGGGATTCCTGCAGAGCCTCACCTCAATGTCAGGCACGTCATTCAGGTTGAAGAGATTCAGCAGGTAGAAGGACTTCTGTGCCTTGTAGTCCTTGGAGAAGCGAGGCGTGTCTATGACGGCTTTCATCTTGTACTCGATTTTCCCGAAAGGCCCTTCGTAAGAGGTCGGGGCTGCAGCTGTCATTTGTGGGAGGGGGGGTAGAGGTTAGCGACTTTGCGGACACTGCATATAGATATCTAGCCAAATAATTACAGGCTAAGTTCCATCACCCAGGGGTCTGACAGACACTCAGTACAACTAGTACTGTGGCCCAAACCTTTAAGTTGTAATTTTTTTAAATCAGGGACGTCCTAAAAACGAACGCATTTCAAAATTACACGTATAGATAGTACAGCAATACTGAGCTAACAGTTAGCAGAAATTTAACCAGCACCATTGAACTACTGTAAATAAATGTATCCAGTCATACAATCAATACATAAATATAGCCATGAGACCTTTATCATTTGGGGGAGATGGTAATTTATTCAGCAATATCTACCCTGTTTATCAGAGAAATTAGCTAAATGATGATGCTGGTGCATCGCTAAGGGGCTGGGCTATCTACAGAGCAGAGGAATTCATCTTCATTTTCTGTCTGCAGATCACAGCCTACAATCACGTACAACCACCCTCTCCACAAATTTCGCTCCAGCTAATAAAAACAAATTATGTTAGCATAACGCTAATGCTAGCTTTTTTTTTTTTGATTCGGACAAAGGGTTCGTTATGTTCTGCCAAGACAAAAAACATTCCTGTTATCAAATGAACATTCATTAACCTTCAGGAGATCCAGATTGTTCTCGTTTTTTTTTAACGATGCTATGTAAACTGCACAATAGGAGACCAACAAGAGGTCTTCCCCTTCAGGGCAAACAACCTCCACAGTGTGGGCCGACCGCCAGCCATGGCAGAGATGCAGCTCTTTGTGTTGCTCTAGACAATGGCTCAAAATGTTTGTATTAATTAGCCGGGGTTAACGGTCCTCTTTTGTTCAATGCCGCTATCTGAAACCATAGTTGCGCATAATGACATCATAGAGAATCATATTTTGACGGCAGGGATTCTGGGGTGATGGGGGGGGGGGGGCAACGAGCCAGCAGGGCGTTGGCTGTTGTCATGTTACCAAGAGCGGATTTGGCCAGTGTCCACAAGCAGCCTTAGGGAGCGGTCTGTGTGCGCTCATGTGTGTCTGTGCGGCGCACATGAAGCTAGATGTGGGGTGAGCAGTCTCTAGCTATCAAATTACAGGACAGCGCGCAGAAAATGCCAGTACGAGTGGTACAGATACGTGCTGTAAAATATGTATGATATACATAACTGGACACAAACACATCCTACACAGAGATGGCTTAAGTTGAAGTCAAGTGTCATGCAATTCCAGCAATTCATTTGTATCCTCCACAGAGGACATTATAGTTTTTGGTCACATCGCTCATACTAAACATGCCGCTCTATTAAGTCTTGTTGTTCCGTAAAGAGGATGTTTAGGACTATAAGATGACATCACAAGTGCTGGGGTGTGACCATGCCAATTTCCTTTTCCTCTCAAATCAAAAGTCCCCTCCCCCCACCCTGATCTCAGGAGGATATTTTGATGATTTGCTGTGTCACAGAGAGTCAGCTCAGTGTTACCCGGGTATGAAATGAGCCGTGCGCTGAACTGTGAGGAGCCGGGGCGGCTTGGCGGGACGGGGCGGCTTGGCGGGACGGGGCGGCGGCTTCCGCTTAATGCTAAGCGGCTGCAGCTTTTATCGGCCCTTATGGACTCCTATAGCATTTTGTTGGCAAATTACTGCCGCAAAATCATCCCCGGGTGCCCAGTAAATTCTGCTGCTCGCTCTTACGACAGGAAGCAGGACGAGGACTTCGTACCTCTCGGGGGAAAGTGTGTTTCTGGGTGTCTGGGACACTCTTCACATGATCAAAATTTCTGATTCATTTTACTTATATTTAACCACTATTAATTATGATATATATGATCAAAACTTATTAATTCCTGAATCATTCTACTTATATTTCTTCATTAATTAAGATAAGATTAAGATATAAGATATATATATATACATATATATATATATATACACACACACACCACACACTCACACACATACATACATATACATATGTATATATTGCACAGTATTCACATTTTTATATAAACACTAAAATGACATCATAAAACAGTACAGCAGGAATTCAGACTGAATGAATCTTTGGATGACTCTTCAGGGGATAAACAGCTCCATGCATACTAACGTGGCTTGAGTTTAGCCCTGTGTGACGAGGGATCAGCTGCACTTTGCTGACATGCGACTGAATACAATAACACATATAATAACGCTGTATAAAGGAATAATGCGTCGGCTGGATAATGATCCCTGGCATTTCCCCCTCGAAGCAGAGTGGTGTGCTTGTTTGTTTACGGCTTGTGTTGAAATGCCTCGAGTGTCAGGTGCAGGAATGCGGCAGGGTGGCGGAGTGGGCAGGGTTACCTGGAATGAGGAACTGGAAGGGAAAGCTGTGAGAGCCCTGCGTCAGCGTACCTGTGAGAGATAGACATCGGGCATTTAGTGATCGCCGGGTGGGAGGGGCCACAAACAACAGATCAAGGTCAAAGGTCAAACTAAGGTAGGGCCCATGATGTTGTAACTGAGTTGAACTGCTTACATTGCACACTGGGTAGATATAAACAAATATGTTAAATGGCCAAAAGTATGTGTTCATTGGAGTAATTGGCTAATTAAGCCCCGCCCATTGCTAACACAGGTGCACAGTTAAGCCCACAGCCATGCAATCACTCCAGCAGCAAACATCAGCAGCAGAATGGGCGGCTGAACAGGAGAGGTTAGTGCAGGGGGGACATAATGGGGGGGGGGGTTGCATGATTCCAAGGGCCCTCCGAGTGAAAAGGAGCATAAGGACATTTGGATTATACTAGGACTGCACTGGGTTTGGAGCCCAATATGATGTGATTTCATAGGGCCCAAAACCTGTAGCGGTGCTTCTGCATTTGTGACTGTCAGCTTGGCGCCATGTCAGGATGCTGCCTTCCTAACAAGCCAGTTCCCCGAATTTCCGCCTTCCTTCCCAGCTGTACATAAAACACACGTGGGCGCCTTCTCAGGGAGAGGCAAACACACCTTACCGAGGTGGAGGCTGATAAGAGCCAGAGCAGCAGCGCTGAGAAGCACCCTGGTGGACAAAACGGGAAGTGAAGAAGCCCAACGCAAGCAGGGAGCTCCAGGGTCACCGGGGAGGAGGCGGGTGGGGGAGGGGTAGAGGCCGCGCTGCGCCCCACCCTGCGCCCCACCCTGCGCCAGGGGCCCGAACTCATTCCTTCCACTGAGTCATAATACCCATATAAAGAGCGATGCCGGGATCGGTTATCAACTGGTTATGGCAGGAGCGTGGAGGGAGGGAGGGAGGGAGAGAGACACGCCCCTCCCCCCCAGCATAGGCCAACACTCCCCAGAAGTCTGCCAGTTCGCCCGGGGAGCTGCACCGGAGTCGTGCCTCTGCAGGTGTCGGCGCCCACGACGCTGTGGCCTGCTCCGTCCAGCCGAGCTGTGATTAGAACATCATTATCCCCCGAGTGACGCGCTCCACATGAACCGGCGCAGACGTCAGGCTCACCTCACACGTCCTTTGTCTTTAGTGCTAATTAATTACTGTCGCCTTTCCCGTCACAGAACCACCCCCCCCCCCCAACCCTGCACTACACTTCCTCATCTCAGATTCAGGCCATCAGGGTGAGAGGCGCCCTGTCCTATTACTGCACTCTTTTCCCGGGTTGATTTCCGTTGGATTAATACCGGCTCTCTGCTCGTGTTTGTCCTGTGCTTTGTCGCTTGGTCATTTTACCCTGCAGCCCAGCAGACCCCGATGTCCTGCACTGAGACAGGTGACTCCACGCAGGACTACACTGAGACAGGTGACTCCACGCAGGACTACACTGAGACAGGTGACTCCACGCAGGACTACACTG